TTCGTGTTCCCATTCTTGTGCCCTTTTGGGGGCCTTCTTGGGCTGTCGTGGGTGCCTCTTGGGCTGTCTGGGAGGCCTCTGGGGCCGTCTTGGAGCTTTCGTGGGGGCCTCTTGAGCATTCGGGGGCGCCTCTTGGGCCGTCTTGGAGCCCTCTGGGGCACTCTTGGGGCCCTAAGAGGGGGCATCTTGGGCCGTCTTGGGGCAGTCCTGCTGGCATCTTGGGTCGTCTTGAGACGTCGGAAGCTCGACACACCTAAGGAACATCAGTGATTTTTGCCTCTCGAGGCTGTTTTGGGACGGCTCTTGTGGCTCTCTTGGGACGCCTCGACGGCCTCGTGGGGCGTCTTGAAGCCATCTTGGGCCGTCTTCAGGCCAATGCGGCACGTGTTGGAGCGATCTTGGGCCGTCTAGAAGGCATCTGGGCGTCGGGAGCCGAATCTGTCGCTGCGAGGAATTCGGGCCTCGGGAAGGGGGTGCGATGCGCGCGACGAAGTGTCCCCAGGAGAGGGGTGGGGTGACACGAATTACAGACCACCAACCAGGCAGACCTTGGCATTCTTCCACGCCTCAATGTGCAAAAGGCACGGTGGTGAATGATGTTGATGATGATGATGCTGATGCCGATGATGATGATGATGATGATGATGATGATGATGATGATGATGATGATGCTGATGATGCTGATGGTGCTGATGCTGATGATGCTGATGATGCTGATGCTGATGATTATGATGATGATGATGATGACGATGATGATGACGATGATGGTGATGACGATGACGATGACGATGATGATGATGCTGATGATGATGATGCTGATGCTGATGATGATGATTATTATTATGATGATGATGATGATGACGATGTTGATGTTGATGTTGATGATGATGATGATGATGATGATGATGATGATGACGTGGATGATGATGATGATGATGACGATGCTGATGATGATGATGATGATGATGATGACGATGCCGATGGCGATGACGATGACGATGCTGCTGATGATGATGATGATGATGACGATGCCGATGATGCTGACGATGAGGATGATGATGATGATGATGATGATGATGATGATGATGATGATGATGATGATGATGATGCTGATGATGATGATGATGATGGTGGTGGTGGTGGTGGTGATGGTGGTGGTGGCGGTGATGAGGATGCTGATGATGATGGTGATGCTGCTGCTGATAATGATGATGCTGATGCTCTTGACGATGATTACGATGATGATGCTGCTGATGATGATGATGATGATGATGATGATGCTGTTGACGATGATGGTGCTACTGCTGACGATGATGAAAATGAATTTGAATATGAAACTGATGATGACGCTGCTGATGATGCTGATGCTGATGCTGATGATGATGATGATGATGATCATGATGATGATGATGATGATGATGATGATGATGATGATGGGGATGGTGATGATGATGACGTTGACGATGCTGCTGATGATGATGCTGATGCTGATGCTGATGATGATGATGATGATGATACTGATGATGATGCAAATATTGATGATGATTCTGCTGAGGACGATGAAGCTTATTAGGATCTTGCTGCTGATGAGGTTGTTTCTGATGCTGATGATGACGACGATGATGTTGAGGATGGCTATAACGATGACGACGATGACGACGATGACGACGACGATGATGACGATTACGACGACGATGATGATGATAATGCTGTTGCTGCTGATGATGAGGATGATCATGACGACGATGGTGATGATGATGAGGAGGAGGATGACGATGATGATGATGATGATGATGATCATGATGATGATGATGATGATGATGATGATGATGAGGATGATGATGATGATGATGATGGTGATGATGGTGATGATGATGATGATGATGATGATGATGATGAACAGGAGTAGGAGGATGAGGAGGAAGAGGAGGAGGTTGAGGAGGAGGAAGAGGAGCAGGGAGAGGAGGGTGAGGAGGAGTACTGGTAAATGCGGGGGACGCTGAATACAGTGGTGCACGAGGCGGGAGCAGAGACTAGTCCAGTACATGCTGCTTGTTCCCCCTCTCTACCTACCTCATCCTGCCTCCCCTGTCTCCTTTCGTTTCCCCCTCCTTCCTCTCACCTTTCCTCCCCTCCTGTTCCCTCCTGCTCTCCCGATATTTCATCCCTCTGCGCTCTTTCTGCCCTCATGCATGTTTCCTCTTCCTTCTGCTTCCCTCTGTTGATGCCATGCCCTGTAATCCGGACCAGCGAATCCTACTCATCCGTTAGGCTTTTGAAGAAGCCTCGTTGTCACAATGCCACTTGCGTCTTTTTCGTCGTCCCACCCCATGTAACTGGTCCTTCCCTCTGCTGCTGTCGGTTTCATCCTCGATGTCTCTCGGATTGCTTGGTGCGCTAAGGAGAACGTAGACACCTTTCTCACGACGGATCCTTCGAAGCCCAAGGCCCGGATCGCCTGCTGTGTCTCTAATGCTACTGCCAGATCTCGATTGGCACT